GTCTGTACAGGTTGTTAATGTATTGTGGTTTACGAAAGATACGACATAATGCTAGTAATTTGAACTCTTTTGATAGAGTTTATATGAACTTTCGTCAAGGTTGATGTTATTGCCTGTGCTTTACTTGAATTTATTCTCCAATGAATTGCTCAGCTGTTCCCTTTGTATACAGCAAGTACAGTTAACTAAATTTTATAAGATTTCTGTTACTTTCAATGTAAACAACAAATTTAGCCATTACAAACTTGCCATAATTGTCTCTTAGAAAAATAGGTTATCGTAATTTTACTGATGGGCGACCAGAGTTACTCAAGAAGAATCACGATTGTATAAGGGGTCATAATAAATTATTGTGATGCTGAAAATAGATGGATGAAATTTTCTGTATCTTGATTCTCGCATTAGATCATGTTTTAGTAACTCTACTGCATTCATCTAGCACTCAGCTCTACTGATCGAGTGTATTACCTTATCCTTCACTGAGCTATTTTTCAACAATCTCATCTGTTTGCCATTTGTTTTTATTTATGATTCCAGACTCGGTTTTTCTCTTTTATTCTCTATTTCCTGCTTTGTAATACATTTCAACCAGCCAGTCAGTGGACAATTTTTAGGCAACTGGGCTGAATGATATTATATATATGTATATATAAAACTTATTGTTAAAGAAATAATAAATTTCCTGAACATAAACATATATATAATATTTTATATATATAAATATATATAAAATCAAGAATAACTTCTGATCTGCTGCATAATATATATGTAAAATTTATTATTAAATTATTTTTATTATCTGATTTACCTCCGGGAGTGCTGGTATATATTATTGTTTTTGTATTATTAATAAATTAATTATTATCATTATTCACTATTGTTATTATTATTATTATTTATTATTATTATTATTATTATTATTGTTATTAATGTTATTATTCTTATTCTTATTATTATTATTATTCTGTCATTACTCTCATAATCATTATCATTCATTATATTTCCCGGTATCTACGTTTTTGCATGAAGTTGTTTACTTGTTTGCATTTCCTGGTTCATTACGATTCTATTGTATTCTTTCTTTGTGTGAAAGAATAATGTACTAGATTAATTTTGTCAAATAGTTAATTCCAAAAATTTTAAATAGTAGTTTTATCAATTTAAATTTATCATCAAAACTTTTTTTAAAGAAATGAAAAATGTTTGACTGCCCGAAAAACTTCATGGATTAATTTCTTGATTTGATTGTAGTTATGGTTTTTTCACAAATATTTTATTAAAAGTACAAAATCTGATTGAAATTGATGACTAGTTCATTCTTTTATGCATACGAAGGAAAACCTGAATTTTTTTTGGTATCTTTTTTCGAGTATTTGAATGTAGTACTAATTTTTTAAACTGACAAAAGCTCCAAGCTAGCGAAACCGCAGTTTTGTATGCTATCATCGCGTCAGATATTGTCAGAATGGTCAATGTTTAAAGAAAAGAATCCATCACTAAATGTGATTCGTATTTTAGTTCTTGATAACCAAAAAAATATACCGTTGATAAAAAATTTTGAGAGTAGTGATTACTTGATTACTAGAGCAACTAATCTGGTTTTAGAATAAACGGCTGAATGAGCCGCTACCAATAGCTCCTAGATTTGCACTCATTCAATCCATTCACTGATTAAAATGGAATACTATAGATTTCTGTACCCGAAAGGCATAAGAAAAACTCACCTGCCGGTACTTTACATATTGTATTTTGACTAACATTATCCTTACTTTACTATATTTTTTTATATTTATATGTTTTACATTAATACAAAAAAGCAATGGTTTTTGCTATTTTGTGGATAAAAAATATGAAATATGAATTGCAAAACTATTCATATTTGTCACGTATTATCTACTGTTTTCTACTTACACAGCTTAAACCACAGTTAATTCATCAGTGCCATGATATTTTCGTATTGATCTGAAATAAAAGTTGCGAATATTGACCTAAATCTTTCATATAATACCCATTTATTCAAATTCTGCATTCTTAAACGGCCCGCGAAGTGCTGTTGAGTGTCTGCATCCAAATTATCCAAATTCTGTAAAAGTAAATGGAAGATATTGAAATTACTATTTCTGGAAGGTAATCAAAATTTAGATCGAATTCGATAAAACTGTGAAAAAATGCTCTTCTGCAAACCATAAAGCGTGCAATAAAAACGACATTTACAGACTGCGGTTCTGAGTACAGAATTAATATTGAATTGAACTTTGAATTTTTAAAAATAAGAGGAAGTAAATTTGCATCCCTATTCTAAGGAAATAAAATTCCAAAGTTTTGTCATTAAAAATACAAAAATTTAAGTTTTAGAATCAAGCCAGATTCAGTATCGAAGAAGCTCAGGAGGTTTTATTTTGGATCGAAGAAGTGACTGCAGTTCAATTTGATAGGGATCCAACTACTTTTCAAACTGCTCAAGACGTTGTTGATGCATTAAAAGATGGTACTCAGTTATGCGAGTACGTTATGTTTCATTTCCTTAAGTGCCTCCTAAAATCAAAACATATATTCATTCTTAAAGCCATAATTTCAAAAGTTTTTCTGAAATTGTAAAATCTTATGCATTTTAACAACACTTTCTCTTTGTTGATTCCGATTAATTATGAGAAGGATACTTGAAATACTCATAAATTTCATGACCTCCAGGTTATTTTAGGTTAATGAATCGACTGTTGAATAAAACAGATGTAGTACCATATAATGCTAAACCAAGAATGCCTTTTCATAAGGTAATATTTTTATGATTTCTTGTTTGCACTAATATTTTTTTCAAAAATAATCTTCATCAATATAGTTCCTCTTCATCAATATATGTATTCGGTTCTTTCCAGTTAAAATATATTTTGTTGACGAACGAAGCATTTTATTTTTAATTGAATGTTTAATAATCAATTCTAATAGCTGCATTTCCAATTTCAATTTCTCAAATGAAATTTTATAAATTGAGCGAGGATAGTCTTCACGTCCTAAATAATATGAGAATATGGATGCGGTTTTTTATTCTTACAGTCATCCTGGAGGATGATTTAATTTAGTGCGATAGCTTACTATTTTGTCGGTCAAATAACAATATATATTATATATATATAATCAAATCAATATCACACGGAGGTTGTTCTTCTTTTCTTAATTATTGATTCTGGCGCTGGATCGCATTCTGGCATTCTCGCTGCACTCGTCCCGCGTTCTTTTCTGTCTTGTTGATCTCCGTTATTTCGTCCACGTCAAATCCATGGCACTGATCGAATGAGATGCTTTTGAGCGTTTTTTGAGTAATATCGACATGCCTCGACGTGACCAGATACATTAATTTCCTTCGCATAACGTTTTGAAAGTTCGTACTATCCCATCTCAAGTCATTACATACGGAATTATTTTCGTCCTCCAATTCATCTCTGCCCCGAGTTTATTAACCAGTAAATCGTACTTTCTCTTTTTCTCGACCTCGACTGTTGATAGTAGTGTGATGCCAACTTCTATCAGAAGTACTTTGTGTCGCCTATTGTCGTATACCAGGATATGGTTCAACCGCCCTTATTCTAATTGCAGTTCTTACTCACGTATTGATGTTCTCATTATCAACGATTTCCTGAACAGAATAGCTCTGCATGTGTGGGAATGCTTTAAAACCCTACATTTTGGTAAGTCCTAAATGGATACCTCATTGTATCTTTCAGTGTAGTAGTTTTCTCGCACTACATTTCTGGATAGTCCATCCTACAATGTGGACACATGCGTATTAGTGACTCACTTTGTTGGATTCACCTCTAACCCTACTATTTCAAAGTGGACTTCTTTGTCATAAGTTTCATGATATCCTCGTCGGCAACAAGGAGCTTGAAGATCATCCATAAATAAGGAATGATTCGTTACGTGCATCCCTTGATCGTGGAAACTGCCACCTTCGGGTACCTGTTATTGAGCTTATAGCTCAACGAGTCCATGCATAAAACGAATAGCAGCGGAGAAAAGCTGTCACCTTGGGGGATTCCCCATTGTGGTTTTTCTATTGCTTTTTAATGTAACCAACCATCTGAAGATTATGCTTTTCAGAAACCTACTGATCCACGTTGGCATGTAGCTCTCAATACACTTAATCACATAGTTGTGACTAACTAAACCGAGCGCTTTTTTAACGTCATACCACGTAGTACAGAGCTTCCGTGCTCTCTGCAAACCTCCAGGTTCAATCGTGCCTGTTTCGCACTTTGTACCTGGGTAATAGTTTCTTACCAGTTATCTGCAAGTACGCTCCTCGTAGCAACATCCAATACCTCTCTTATATATATATATATTAGCCACGTGTTTCCACATATAGTTATATGACTTTCAGATGGAAAATATAAGTAATTTCCTGGATGCAATCAAAGCATATGGCGTACCCGAAATTTCTTGCTTCCAAACAGTTGATTTATACGAAAATAAGCAGTGCTACAAGGTCATCGAATGCCTCAGGGCTTTAGCTGCTGTGGTACGTGTCTAAACCAAAAAAATACCATTTTTTAATGCAAAAAATTTATCTTTTTCGAATCTAATCAACAAATATCGATATGTCATTTTATAGTAATCAAACTGGTGATTATATGAGATTTCATGAAATTACTGCTTCTAAGACTTTTCATGCACAAATATCCAGTATACCAAATTGCGGTCATTAAATTTAAACTCATGTGCCGATGAATGTACTGAAATTTTGCCTTAATTTAAAAAACAATTTGCAGTATTAAATTGAAGCGTATTCAATGGACCAGCTAAAAAAGCTGATGGGTTGAAAGTTTGATGAACTTGTTTAACTGCCTAATGATTTTTCTTGTTAATTTCGTCATAATCTTTAAAATTTTTGGTCATTTTGAACTAAAAATTAATAGCAATTAATGGGTTAATTAATTCGTTACTAAAAATGATAATGATGATAAATAATAATAAAGAAGGAGCTCAAATGTATAAATGCCTTGGAATAATGGAATACAGGACCAGTGCAGCTATCTGTGTAAGCAAGGTTAAGTCGGAGAAGAAATTTTAGTGAGAATTGAGGGATTAGACAAAACTACATTAAATGGCAAGAACTTTATCACTGCTGTGAATATGAGCACGCCATAAGCTTAATAAATTAATTATTACATCGGGATGGTCAAGCTGGAACCAGAAGACTTCAAAACTATAGACCACGATATCAGACAGTTACTAAGGAAATACGGAATTCATAACTGATCTGCATGTTTGGAAAAGCTGTACCAGAGACGAACTAGGACGTGGACTTCATAATATTGAGCAGAAGAGTGAGTTTATGCTTCTCCAACTACATAATGTTCTTGTAGAT